GTGGATCAGTGAGTAGAGAGAGGCAGGGAGGGAGATGCTGTAAATACTCATCCCTGCCTCTCTCCACACACACAAACAGCGACCCCTACAGGCCGGCGCTGGTATTGGAGAATAATCTCTGTTTATACTGAGACAGACATTTGTATTGCCGGAATTACTGCAATATTGGCACCGGCTAGGCAGCCTTAAATACCTGAGAAATACTTCTGAGAAATACCTGGCAACGATAAGAAATACACGAGAAATACCTGGCAACCCTAAGAGTAGTGTGTGTGTAAAAAAAATTAAACTTTTTTTTTTTTTAAATCAATGGGCCCTATGTTAATCCGGCTCCTGTCCCAGTAGAAGATCCTATTAAAGGACCACTATAGGCACCCAGACCACTTCAGCTTAATGAAGTGGTCTGGGTGCCAGGTCCAGCTAGGATTAACCCTTTTTTCTGTAAACATAGCAGTTTCAGAGAAACTGCTATGTTTACCTATGGGTTAATCCAGCCTCTAGTGGCTGTCTCATTGACAGCCGCTAGAGGGCTTCCGCGCCTCTCACAGTCATTTTCACAGTGAGAAGACGCCAGTGTCCATAGGAAAGCATTGATAATACTTTCCTATGAGACTGGTTGAATGCGCGCGCAGCTCTTGCCGCGCATGCGCATTCAGCTGGTGACGGAAGAAGAGGGAGGAGAGGAGGAGGAGAGCTCCCCGCCCGGCGCTGGAGAAAGAGGTAAGTTTAACCCCTTCCTCACCCCAGAGCCCAGGGGGAGGGGGACCCTGAGGGTGGGGGCACCCTCAGGGTACTATAGTGCCAGGAAAATGAGTATGTTTTCCTGGCACTATAGTGATCCTTTAAGTTTTAGGTCCACTAGGGGGCCCTACACTCCCAGACTGTGTTTAACATAAACAGCATAACATCCATTTACTGTAGATTAGTAGCAGATTTCACCTATTTTATAATTATTATTTTGATGGCAATAACATTTTTCCGCAGCGTGTTACAATTATACAGTGAGGATATATATAATCAACAGACAATTTAATAATCACATATAAGAATTTGAGAAGATAGATGAGGGAGTTTTTGTATCTGAAACATTTTGAAATCTTTATCACATACCATAACAATGTCATCAAAAGGAAGTCCCGGGTACTAGCTCAGCCTTAACATTTTTTAATGTGGAGCTACTTATTGGCTTAGACTAGAGCATCAGCTGACCACTCTTAGCCAATCAGCGATGCCCCTACCCGAGTCTTTCGTTATCTATGATTTCAGATAGCGGAAGGGGGCAGAGCAATCCGGAGCTGGTACAGAGTCTTTGGGGTTATAATGTTTGCGAACAGTTTAACCTGTAACGGTGAGCCAATGCCAGGAACCTCCTGGCACCATAACAACTTTACTTTGATGAAGTGGTTATGGTGTTTAAACTGATCCTTTAAATTTCATCAGTCGCCTTTGCCCAGGGATCTTACTTCTAGGAACGGGGCTGTACCAGACAGAAAGCAATCCTGATATGATCATAAATCTACTGCAAATATCCAGAAAAGAGACAGAAACAAGAGAAAATACTATGGTTCTAGAAATAAATAAACAAAGAATAACAAATGTCAGGTTATCTCCAGCTTTCTGATCTCTCACGTCTAAGAAAAAGCAGAAAATCCTGACCGAAAGATATTCCGTTCTCCTCATTCAGAAACTACAACTTATTAAATGTAATAGAACTCAATTACAGGCAAATTGCATAACCACAATGCAACTGTACTTTCTCATGCAGATTTATTTTGAATGAATTATATTTGAAGAATAAACTGACGAATGGTCGAGCAATTCACAAGTGTCCCTTTGGTGTGATGGATCAATGTCTATCTGTCTTTCGGCTAACTGGAGCCTGAATTCAGAATTTCCAGTAATAGACGCCCCAAGGAAAAATCAATGTGATTGAAAATGTGGAGAAACGTTGCTAATCTCCCCCCAGTGTCAAAGCTGAGACTCAACAAAAACCTGACTTGTCTCCATGACTCGATTTTACAGTATATGACGGGTCCTCCGTAGGGAAAAATGGTTAAAAGAAATAAAATGAAAGATAGCATATATTTGTAATGTTGATACTAGTCTTAGAGTATAAACTTAAAGGGACACTATAGTCACCAGAACAACTATAGCTTATTGTATTTGTTCTGGTGTGTAGAATCATTCCCTTCAGGCTTTATGCAGTAAACACTGTTTCTTCAGAGAAAATGCAGTGTTTACATTACAGCATAGTGATCCCTACACTGGCCACTCTGCAGATGGATGCTAGAGGTGCTTCCTGGGGCATTGCTGCACAGTGTGACTGACATTCAGTGTCTCCACCCTCTGCATGCAGACACTGAACTTTCCTCATAGAGATGCATGACTGCTGACCCATCCTCCTTTTACCTCCCTGTTGCCCTCCCAATAAGACACCACACACTTTTCTTGTGGATAAGGGCAACGGCCACAGCTTTATTAACTTAATTCAAATCCAATAACCATGACCTGTCAGCTGTTGGGCGGTTAACCCAACGGGCAGTTCTCCACCTCTTTTTCCCAAGAGCCTCAACAGCCGGCACTTGCCATCAGCCCTTGTGCCGTCTGTCGTCTCCCCAACTCGACTCCGTGTCTTTCTCCTTTACTCCCAGTTGCGCTGTCCAGGGATCCCACCAAGCTGTGACAAAACAAGAAACACCAGCAAGACACCAAAGAAAACAAAACTAACACATCAATAACCAAGGGGAGGGTGGGTGGGAATTTTCACCAGTTTCCTTCCAGAGTCTCTGCTGACTGGTAAGTCTCCTCCCCACTCCTCTCCCCAAACCCCATATCTTTGCAACATTTTATCCAATTTAGTCCAGCATGGGCAGCAGTCATGATCCCCATTCTCAACGCGTACAGTTGGAAACTTTAATTCAATGCATGTCTATGAGGAGATGCTGATTAGCCGGGATGCATTTGGTTCTCGCCCTGCCCCCTTGGCTTAGATCATAAAAATTGACTTCTGATGATGTCAGCCAAGAAGCCAGATCAAGGGCAGAGCCAGCACTAGCAGACTGGAATAAAGTTAAGATTTTACTATATTTGTCGGCGCCAAGGCAACCAGAGAGTGTTTTTATACACTATAGGGTCAGGAATACATGTTTGTGTTCCTGACCCCATAGAGTTCCTTTAATTATAGTACAATTATTTGGTGTATGTTTTTTTTTTAAATTATTTTCTTATTTGAAAAAAAAGGATTTTTTAAAAAATCTATCAATATTAAGTTTTCTTTCTGTCATAATATAATGGGCAATACTAAGCTTTCAAATGAATTTTCTGCAACACTTTTATTTTGAACCCGTAACCTTATTCCGTCACCACTGAGTGAGCAGGCTGACAACGTTTCATCTTTATACCGGTGTTCACCAAGTCTAAGCAGATTATTGTGCTAATTGTGACCAATTACAAAAACGTAGAACTGATAAAGGGATGAAATGTAGATCACGAATAAAGAAAAATGTGGGTAATCTGTAGGACTATTTTATCGGTTTCTGTGACGACTGCTTTACTTTGAGAATTGATGTAAATATAAATCTATCGATAGACCGAGAAGCGGACAGCAAAACACACGGATGGACAGAAGGACAAATGGATAGACAGACATTTAAATATTTAAGTTCTTTTTATAGAAATTGCACAGAAATACAGTGAGCTATAGAGACAATTGCAAAGTTAAAAAAATATATATTTTTTTTATCTCTGTGTTGTTAAAAAAATGTTAGGAGCAAAGAAAGATCTGTTATGAGTTTAGTTTATCACAAAGAAACTTCATCAGAAAAAACAGATTACATTTAAACGTAAACCCAGCATGAAACTGGTGACAGTATCTGAGAAAAGTAATTTCGTCATTAGCAGGATTTGGTTTTCCTTTATTGAAGTTTAGATTTTTATTATTAACTGAATTATCGCCCTGCAGTACTTCCTGCCTTCTATGTACACTTTGTTAAAGTTATTGTTAGCTATCTAACTAATTATGGAGCAAAATGCCTTTCTTAAATTCAATTTGTTTATATATAATAGTTTGTTGTAAACATAATTAAACAATAGAAGGTATTGAGGATAGTAGATTTGGGGATTTTTGGATGATTAGCAGAATATATTAAAAAAAAATAGATTTAAAGGGATATCCACAGCACAACAACCAGTAGAATTTATTGTATTTTTGCGGATTATTGAGAAGATCTGAAGCTACAAATGGCACTATTTTTCTATGTTTCAGAATGCACATTCCCAAAATACCAGCATTGTCCGTAGTGTAATTGCGTGCATTTTACAATGTCCGATTCATTGTAATTCCTATTCTATGAGAATCACTGTAGTTTCTAAAAGTGGTATTTTTTTTATCTATTTTCTGCACAAATTATTCTGATTCTTTGGTAAAGATTTCTAGACATTTCTTTTTTTTAAATAATTCTTTATTTTTGCAGCGCATGGTATGACATGCTACAGGGAGTGCAGAATTATTAGGCAAGTTGTATTTTTGAGGATTAATTTTATTATTGAACAACAACCATGTTCTCAATGAACCCAAAAAACTCATTAATATCAAAGCTGAATATTTTTGGAAGTAGTTTTTAGTTTGTTTTAGTTATAGCTATGTTAGGGGGATATCTGTGTGTGCAGGTGACTATTACTGTGCATAATTATTAGGCAACTTAACAAAAAACAAATATATACCCATTTCAATTATTTATTATTACCAGTGAAACCAATATAACATCTCAACATTCACAAATATACATTTCTGACATTCAAAAACAAAACAAAAACAAATCAGTGACCAATATAGCCACCTTTCTTTGCAAGGACACTCAAAAGCCTGCCATCCATGGATTCTGTCAGTGTTTTGATCTGTTCACCATCAACATTGCGTGCAGCAGCAACCACAGCCTCCCAGACACTGTTCAGAGAGGTGTACTGTTTTCCCTCCTTGTAAATCTCACATTTGATGATGGACCACAGGTTCTCAATGGGGTTCAGATCAGGTGAACAAGGAGGCCATGTCATTAGATTTTCTTCTTTTATACCCTTTCTTGCCAGCCACGCTGTGGAGTACTTGGACGCGTGTGATGGAGCATTGTCCTGCATGAAAATCATGTTTTTCTTGAAGGATGCAGACTTCTTCCTGTACCACTGCTTGAAGAAGGTGTCTTCCAGGAACTGGCAGTAGGACTGGGAGTTGAGCTTGACTCCATCCTCAACCCGAAAAGGCCCCACAAGCTCATCTTTGATGATACCAGCCCAAACCAGTACTCCACCTCCACCTTGCTGGCGTCTGAGTCGGACTGGAGCTCTCTGCCCTTTACCAATCCAGCCACGGGCCCATCCATCTGGCCCATCAAGACTCACTCTCATTTCATCAGTCCATAAAACCTTAGAAAAATCAGTCTTGAGATATTTCTTGGCCCAGTCTTGACGTTTCAGCTTGTGTGTCTTGTTCAGTGGTGGTCGTCTTTCAGCCTTTCTTACCTTGGCCATGTCTCTGAGTATTGCACACCTTGTGCTTTTGGGCACTCCAGTGATGTTGCAGCTCTGAAATATGGCCAAACTGGTGGCAAGTGGCATCGTGGCAGCTGCACGCTTGACTTTTCTCAGTTCATGGGCAGTTATTTTGCGCCTTGGTTTTTCCACACGCTTCTTGCGACCCTGTTGACTATTTTGAATGAAACGCTTGATTGTTCGATGATCACACTTCAGAAGCTTTGCAATTTTAAGAGTGCTGCATCCCTCTGCAAGATATCTCACTATTTTTGACTTTTGTGAGCCTGTCAAGTCCTTCTTTTGACCCATTTTGCCAAAGGAAAGGAAGTTGCCTAATAATTATGCACACCTGATATAGGGTGTTGATGTCATTAGACGACACCCCTTCTCATTACAGAGATGCACATCACCTAATATGCTTAATTGGTGTTGATGTCATTAGACCACACCCCTTCTCATTACAGAGATGCACAGCACCTAATATGCTTAATACGCCTAATATGCTTTCGAGCCTATACAGCTTGGAGTAAGACAACATGCATAAAGAGGATGATGTGGTCAAAATACTCATTTGCCTAATAATTCTGCACTCCCTGTAGCTTATACACAATAGAACAGAGTATTGACAAATATAAATGGAACATCGAGGAAACTGCACTTTTTATTTTTAAGATAAAGAAAACATCAGGCCACTATTCTATGCGATAAGACATAGCGAAGAGATATGACGGTCAGAGTTATAACAGAACAGAGTACTGAGGAATATTTCCAGGAGTAAATACTACTGGGTGAGCAGGGTAGGTCATGGCAAACAGTTAGTGAGACAGGCTAGAACAATTTAGTCACAGAGACTGCTAGGCTATAGTAAGGCCTGATGTTTACTCAGCTGATTCCATCACCTCCCATTGTTGTCAACCACTTTGAGAAGGCTCCTCCATCTTATCCAAACTGTCAGACAGTCCAGCAATGCTTTTCCCTGGTTGGTATTCGGAGCTCGGTTGTGCATCCCATCGGTTGCACAGATCCGATGATGAGATGCATAGGCTTCCGGGTTAGGCTGGCATTGTTGGGCATTGCACCCAAAACAGGATGGAATACTCTGTCACCGCCATAACTTTGCACGCCTTCTTCTCCACGGAGTCTCTCTGGTAAAATGCTGTAGGAGCTTGGGCAGGTGACGTCTATGAACAGGATGGCTCTGGGAGGCCGCGATTCTGGCGGCAGAAGGAAAGGTAAGTCTCCGACCCCGAAGCGTCGCCCAGAATTAGTTGCAAATGCAATCTAAAATCAGGAGGATCTGAGTAACGTGAATAGATGAGCATGGTTTGCCTCTCTCTATAGGTCTCGGCTGATTGGTCATTTTGATTGTTAGGCCTCAATTCTCCAGACACCAAACAGCTTAATAGTATTATCAGGATGACCACTATTCTTTACCAGTGGGTACCGGAACATCCCCCACTGGTCCAGAGACAGGGGAACAGGGCTCTCGGTCAGCTGGTTCCAAATCAAGGCCGTGGATCAGCCACCTCCCCGTCCTTGACCGGAGCTGTAGGCAGCAGTGTAGTTGCTCACTGACTGTAGCTGCCGGCTGTAGGCAGAACAGACTTGAATGTATGGCAGAGTGCTCCCTGGTGATAAAGGCAAGAATTCCGCCAAAAAAGAGAGCAATTAAGCCCAGTTTAAGGCTGTGTATGAGTGTTTCCCCAAGGAGCCTCAGCACCATGCAGCTGTTTCGGTCGGCTGTCATTTAATACTGTATCATCACTGAAACTTTATAACCCTCCAATATTTAAATTAATTTACTGTGTTATTTTGTGCTACATCCACTGGGAGGCTATGTCAGGTGTCTACTACCTTATAAAATGGTACAGTCTTATAGTCATCGGCCCTCCACCTTCACATCATTAAGTGCTTTCTTCCTCCATTTTATTGAATCCCTTGATGTGATCGAAGGCTTTCCCGTGTCTCCCTGCTTCTTGTCACATTATATACATTAAGGTATTGAAGTGTTTCCTGGTATGATTTGCTAGAAAGACTGTGAGCTATATTAACAGCCTTCTTTTAAAATTATCTCTGCTTGTCTCAAGACACGCTCTTAAGAGCTGGACTCGGAAACCTATATTAAGTCTCGCTGGGGATCCATAAAGTGATATAACTAGCCATTCTCTCTCTCTGTTTTGTAACATATCCAGTATTGAAGTCATTAATGACAGATTAAAAGATATTAAAAACCAGTCCACGAGATTCGTATCAGGCAGAATTTGGGCCGATTGAATGTACCAACCAACCAAGCCGTGCAATGCCAAACATGTACGGTTTGTGCACGTGATTTTAAATTCCGCTCATGTTGCCAAAAAGAGATTATTGATGGGGAAAAAAAGATGATTGATTGATAGGCGACAGTCACTAAATGTTGATTTTTATTCATAGATTAAGTGAGTGGTAACCGACAGAGGGTTCCTTTACTAGGACCGGTGTGAACGCCCACAGGTCCAGTTGGGCACAATTGAGAAATAAATCCAAATGGTTTGATTAAGTCTAGACGTGTAACAAGATCGAAACGTTTGCCATTCTTTACACAAAACCTTTAGGCATTGAGTGGCCTGTAGTTACTTCCTAGCCAGTCTACATTGGTGCAAAATGAAGGCAAAAAAAAAATTGGGGGGCCACCCAGAATATGCATTTTGCATGAATGGTACTGCCGTAATGACCGAAACATATACATAATGCAGATAAACAGCGCACATAAAAATAAAGTCAAATATTTAATAAGGCTACTTAAAATCACTTATCTCAGCAAAAAAAATTCCATACTATATGACCATAATGTGTTAAACCCCCACTACTAGTAAATACACCTCACAGAGCTAAGCTACTCCGATTTGATACAATGGACGTCGACATTAAATAAATGTAACTCATGCATATTCAAGCTGGACTAATTTACATGAGAGAACCGGCATTTAAAGCAGCCTAGAGATATGTAAATTGGTTTATCTGGCAAAGCTTGCTGGGATTCAGTCCCTCGGATGCAAGCTTGGTCTCAACTTATCAAATTTGTATATTTATTAAAAAAAATTCACTGGGGAATAAGGGAGAATAGATTAGTAGCATTTGTTCTGTGTTTCCTGCATAAAATGGATATATTTGTGCCCTGTGAGGATGCTTGCATTAATCATGAGGGAGTTCAGTATTTGTGAAGACTGTATTAGAAATAAATAAACTGCCACACCGGTTTTGTTTTGTGAGACAGTCATTTAAAAGGTGCCTGATAAGTTTTTATTATTTTCTTAAGAGTTAACAGAGGCAGTATTAAAAGGTTCTTTATTCTTCGCAAACATTAAGAGTTTAAAAGCAAAACCGTCCCCAGGGCCAAACGCTGCTAGTGGAAGTGACAGTTACTTCGTCATTATTTTCTTTATTATGTAAAATGGTAGCTCGCGCATGCATTCTTCCTATACCACCAATCATTGTGTAACATTTTTTTTTTTTTTTAAAGAAATAGAAAAAGGCTCTCAGAATTATGCCGAATCAACGGCCTCGATTTCGAATGATTCAATACTGTAAGAAAAACATTTCTAATGATTTATCTACAGAAAATTCCATGGACTTTAATGGTGACTTCTGTAGATAATTAATTTGAAATGTTTTTCTAACAGTATCGAATCATTTGGAAATTTTATTAAATTGAGACACAATGTATTGATTTTCTAGAACATGTCCCCGATCTGCCCTCTGGAATATGGGCATCCGCCCTTGGCTCTCCACTGGTTTCAATATTAGATTAATTTAATTTCAGGATATTAGGAATGTATTCTTCAGTCTTACTGTGGGTAAATCTATTATGTGTCATTGATTAATTATAGTTTGGTATATTTATATTATTTATATTTATACATTTGTGTGTTGCGTTGACAGTGATGATGATCATTCTGTTACTATAAGCCAATATATGACTAATATAATGGCAAAGTCTAATTCTTTTAACAGATAGTGTCAGTTACTGCAGGAAGAAGCCCCCATGTTTATAGATCTTCGATGACAGATGCATAAACAGACACAGACAGATAGCAAGACAGACAAACAGACACAGATGGCTTATCACATAGTTCTAGACATATACAGATGACTGGATAGACTGATACGCAGAAATATGCACAGATAGAAAGCTGGATGAATTAACTGACTGACAGATGGACAGACATATGGCAGTATGGATGAAAACTTGGTTATTTTTTTTCAAGTTTCAAGACTTTCTTTAAATCTGCAGCATTCTTAATTTATTATAGCAAAAATGTATTCCATGAACATGCAAAATGAAGCCCTGCACTCACCTAATGTGTGCCCTATTAAGGGTTAATAAGTGTTCAGGGTTTTATGAGAATACCCCTCTCTGTCTCATTAGAGATTTTGCCTTATAGTTGAAAGCAACGAGGTGAGTTGTAAGTGGGACTCACCTAAGAGGTTTGCCCTTACTTGGCAGGTGAGCTTACACTTTAATCGACCTTGGATTGGTACTGAAACCCACCTGTTATTTAAATGTGAATAGTGATTTGGGATAGTGTGCAGGTATCTGGTTTTTGTTTTGCATTGTTACCATGAAGATAGTCAATACGTTGTTAAACACAGATCTGCACACCAGTCAAGGCATAAGACTTGCTTTCCCCACAGAAATC